GTTGGTGCCTCTGTTCCATTAACAGGCAGGCCTTGGAGCTTCAGAGGAGGACAGCTAACAGCCTTGCCCCTGCCCGGTGGGTTGGTGGCAAGGGCAGCTTCTKCCCCTAGGACACCGGTCTGCCACAGTCCCGTGTAGGGTCCTGGCCACCGCGCAGCCATCAGCCTCAAGTTCCCCCTCCTGGAGATCCTCTCAGAGTTGAATCTTGGTCAGATTTGAGGCAGGATCGGGAGGGCAGAAGCTGGGTGTGGGGGCTGGAGCGTCCTTATCCTGAGGGCCTGGGCTCTGGAGGAGAGCATGAGCCCTGCTGGCCACTGGCGCTCAGCCCCCAGCAGCCCTTGGGCTCTGGGTCTTGCTCCAGGGCGGGCAGGGTGAATCCCTGCATTGGCCCAAAGGTTCTGTGAGTGACRTGGTCTGGTCTCACAGGTTCTGCCTTAGACCTGCGTCTCAGYGACGTCAACATCGCTTCTCTAGATAAAGACCTGGACGAGCAGGATCCCTGTGACCTTGGATTGTCAGGTGGGCACACTGAGCTGCAGCTGCCCTTGCCACACCTGTAGAGTCCACCTGGCTTGGGGCCTCCTGAYCTTTGGCGGGCCTGGGTGAGGGTGGGGTTTGCCACAGTCACAGCCTCCTGCCAGGGCAGCACCTCCCTGGTGCTTACTTGGCCTTGTTTGTCAGGTCCCAGGCCGCTGGCAGGCTCCGCGCCAGTCACCATCCCGGGCTCCCTACCTCGCTCACCATCCCTGCAGTCATCCTCATCCCTGTCCACCTCCCCGCTCAGCTCACTCTCCCAGTCGCTGCCAGGGCCACTTGTCTCCTCGGCCATGACGCCCCCCCAGCAGCCGCTGCCCCTCAGGTCAGAGCCGGCCATGCTGGGCTCCGCAGCCTCGTCCTACAGCTCCTTAGGTGAGTGCCCCCTTCCCCACCATCACTCCYGCTGGCTCTGGTGCTTGGAGTATGTCTTAGGTGCTCTTGACCACAGGGCACCTCACCTGCCTGGAGGGGGCARTGCTATGCTCAACCCACACCATGCAGGAGAGTAAACCAGCGTGGCGTGCTGGTAGCTGCTTGCGTGGGCTGTGTGGGCTGTGTGCCAGTGGGTGGGCTCACTCAGGAGGGACCTGCTGTCCCCGGTGGTGGGGGTCTGCTGCAGAGCTGGGATTGAGTCCCTAGGAGGTGGGTCCCTGACAACAGCCCTGGGAACAGCACCCCCTCGCCTCTCCATGAAGAGAGATGTGTCCTGYGGACCTGCCACATTTTAAAAGAACACAGTTTGAGATGAGGTCTCGCCATGTTGTTCAGGCTGGCCTCATCCTCGGGGATCCTCCTGTCTGGGTCTCAAAGTAGAGCGTGGGTGTCTAAGTGGCTTGGTCCCCCTTTCTGATGCCACACGAGTAGCATATGTGGCCCAGGGAAATAGAAGCTCCTTGGTCAGGTCTGCACATGGAGTGTTTGGAGAATGGCTGCCCCATATGCTGTCCACAGGAGCCCTGAACTAAGTTCCTTTCCTGTCTCGTCTCCCSAGGGATGGGGCTGTGCCTCAGTGGCAGAGCTCTTGCTGAGCATACTAAGGCCCTGGGTTCAACCCCCAAYTCCACAAAAAGACTCCCCAAGGGGTTGGGAAGTAGGCCTGCTGGAAAGGCCTGGTGTGACCAGCACTGTGGCCTGTGCCAGTTCCAGAACCTGTCCTGAGCTGGTGGAACCTCCCCTGGGGGAGCTAGTCCTGGAACTGGGCTCCATGAGGGCAGGAGCACACACAGAACCTCCCAGGTCTCTGCATAGCACCATTGTCTCCATACCAGGTCTGAATGGTGTTCCTGGGAGCATCTGGGACTTTGTCTCTGGCAGCTTCTCTCCCAGTCCATCCCCCATCCTGAACACTGTCCCTGCCTCAAGTGCAAGTCCACACAGTGCGGAGCTGGCCCGGGTCAGGCGGCAGCTGGASGAGGCCAAGAGGAAGATCAGGCAGTGGGAGGAGTCATGGCAGCAGGTGAAGCAGGTGAGGCAGTAGGCACTTGGGCTGGGCCCAGCCATGTGGGCGAGGCAGTGGGCACCTGGGCAGAGCTCACCCTGCTGCCTCCACCCATCCTTGGGTTTCAGGCCTGTGACGCGTGGCAGCGAGAGGCTCGGGAGGCTCAGGAGCGGGCTCGCATGGCGGACAGCGACCGGCAGCTGGCCCTGCGGAGGAAGGAGGAGGTGGAGGCCCAGGTCCAGCGGCTGCAGGAAGAGCTCGAGGGCCTGGGCCTGTCTTCACTGCCTGGGCTGCGAGGCTGTGGTGATGTGGGTGCCATCCCTCTGCCCAAGCTGCACTCCCTACAGAGCCAGCTGCGCCTGGACTTGGAAGCTGTTGACGGGGTGAGTGCTGGGGTGTGGCAGTGCCAGGAGCTATGTTCTTGGAGGGATGGGGGCCTGCCTGGTGAGGGTCTGGTGCTACTTCTGCCCCCCCCCCTCCCTGCCCTGGATACCTCCTTTCCCGCCAGGCTGGCCCCTGTCCTTCACCTTCATGCTCTTCCCCTGTTTCTTCCTGCCGGCAAGCAGGAGGCAGTGCCCTCCGTGGAGAAAGTGGGCCTGTCCACCTCAGGGGGCAATGGGAACTGTCTGGGCCRTTCCTAGGAGTGATCACACCAGGTCCCTGGGCCCCACTTTTTATCCTGCCTTTTTGGCATAGCACAGAACTCACCCATTCAGCGTGGCCCCTTTCACACCAGGTTATCTTGTGGAGCCTCTGGCAGGTTCTGTAGCCCTGCTTTCCCCTCACCCTCCAACCGTGGCCAAGGCCACAGATTGCACCAGTCTGGCTGCACCCGCTTGGTCAAGGGTCCTGCTTGGCCCACATACTGAATACCAAGCTGCTGCACCTGGGCCCAGTTGTCGTCCTAGCCAGTCCCTCCCCTGTAGCTGTAAGTGGCTCAGGACCGGCTGGCGGCTCCCCTTTGTGGGGCCCCTGGCCAGGTGTCCACTCAGCCCTGATGTTCTGGACACCTCTGATCCTGAAGCCGCAGCTGCCCTCTGCCTGGAAGACCCTGGGCCCACTGGGCTCCACTGGGCAGGTGGCCTTAGGCTGAACCAGCCGTGCCTTCTCCACAGGTGATCCTCCAGCTCCAGGCCAAGCAGTGTGTGGCCTGCCAGGAGCAGGCCCCTAGCACCGTCTTACGGCCCTGCCAGCACCGTGTCCTGTGCGAGCCATGTGCAGCCAGTGCGCCTGAGTGCCCCTGCTGTGAGGGTCAGCCCCTCCCCTGGTGACCAGAGGTGGGGCCTCGTTCCCTCCAGGGCATGGGTGCAGAGACTGCAGAGTGCCACAGTCACGTCTGGTGCCACCGTCAGGACGCAAGTCCATGCCTGTTGCTACCAGTGGCCTTTGTGGCACTTTTATCACCTACCACGTCCCACTGGCGTCTTCAAGGTATTCTCCAAACCCTAAAGCACCGCAGAACCCWCTTCCTGTCCCCGTGGTAAGAACCGTGGAGGCCTGGTGAACAGAGCAGGTTCGGTGCCACGGTCCTGATGCTGCAGTGGCCAGGCCACTGGGGGGGTCTCTTCAAAGCACTTTGTAAACCAAGGAATTTAGTTTTAAATCTTATAAGCTGCTTTCTAGGTCCATGTTTTTTAATATATGATAACATGAAGCTTTATGTGTACTGTGAACTTGAACTTTCCCATCAGTTGCTGTCAACTCATAGTGTGGTGAATATATTAGATTTCTTATTCTKAACTACTTATGAAATGAACATTTATCTAGTAGTAACGCCAACCTAGGATTTTACATTTTCAAATCAGTGCAAACATAGTATTTATAAGCAGAGTAATTATTGAGATGCTCGTTTGGATGTTCTCGACTTTACCTAAGGAGCTCTTCCCCGAAGTGTGCAGGGCATGTGCAGCTGGCTTTGTTCTGGCACAGAATAAACCCCAAGCACTCGGGCCCCTTTAAGTGCCTGTGCCTTGCACAACAAGTGAAGGAATCGGTTCCTTTGGTTTTTGTCTTCTCCTGGAGGCTCTGAGGGCCAATGTGGTCTCAGGAGTGTGCACCAGAAGGGGTAGATGTTAGGACTCTCAGATCCATGCTGTAGAYAGCTGTGTTCCCGTGGAGCTTCTCAGATGTCTGGGGCACCCTGGTTCTTCTTGAATTGGGAAACCTGCACCTCCCACACTGCAACTGCCCACAACTCCTGCTGACCTGACTCAAGAGACTGCAATGGCAGTGCATGGTGGCCAGGGTGATGGCATTGGTGACAGTCAATTGAGTTGTACGTCAGTTGTGATTAGAGCTCATCCATGTGACCAGCAAGGTGCCTCCGCAGCCCCAGCTCTGCCATGCTGCCCCTGCTCATCAGCTCCTGGGGCCACAGTGGTGCCAGGCAGCCTGGCCTCAGACTGTGGCAGGAATGCTGCTAAGAACAGTCTGAGGTGCCTGGGGAGAGAAGAGAAGTCTGCCATGTTTGCAGACCTCACCTGGGTGAGCAGAGGGACATCTGTCAGGTGCACTGTGGGCTGGGTGCCTCCTCCCAGGGCTTTGCCAAAGACTTTTAAGTAGCATTTTCTAAAGTGCAAAGTGACTAGGTAAACATTTTTATCAGTGACCAAATTAGAATGTATTTAATACAGTAGACTATTTAAAAAGCAATTTCTAATGTAAGACAAACCGATAGATTCTGTCATTTCAAAGGAAGTGAATCCGTGACGTCCCACAGCTAGTCCACTACAGAAGGTACCTATGGACGTGGGTTAGTGGCGCTCCTATTTCTTAACAGTGATGACCTGTTAGCTCAGAACCTAGACATTACATATATTTTGTGCTACTGTTTTTGCTGTTTATTTTTGTTAATATTTATGCACTTGTTTCCATTTTGGGCCTTTGGTCTTTTTGGAGATAACAGGACAAAATTTATTACTGGTGTCTAGCCTAAACATTTTCAAATCATAGACCTAAAACTCAGCTGTTTTTAATGGTTTATCTGTAATAAGCTACTCCGGCCAGCTCTTTTTGTGGAATTTGGCCAGTGTTCCAGTGCTGCTTCTGGGGTTGGGATGGTGGCAGAGGTGAGGGGCCACAAGGCAACAGCTAGGACAGCAATGGTGCTGGCCTCTGTGCACTGGCTCTTCTGGAATCAGGAGGGCACTGGAAATAGGTATGCAACAAGAATTGCCCAGGAGTGGGTCAGCAGTGCAGGATCCCAGGATGCCTCCCACTGATCTGCTCTGGGTGCCCAAGAGCACAGCAGTTGGGGAGGCTCAGGGTCCCGTGGGCAGGTGATGGCGGTGGGGTCCTGAAGCCCTGTGGTGACTCTGTGCTGGTGTTCCTGATGTCTGTCACCCTCTAGTGTTCAATCAGTGTCCCACACTGACTGACTAGCCATGGGGTGGTGTGTCCAGCACTTAGCTGAATGTGCTGAGTCGGATTATCCTAACCCAGAAGGTCGTATTTATAATGTGTGATCATTTACTTGTAGAGGACCATTTAAAGTTGTTAACATCTGTTTAAATTTTTTTACACTATATGCAATGGTTTACAGAACTCATGGAATTATTTTTATCAGTATGGGAATTAATTAAAACTTTGAATCTTTATTTTGTCTGTGTTTCTGAGCACAATGCCTGGCCAGCAGGTCGTCATGGGTGCCTCTGCCTGGTGGATAGGCCCCGGGGAGCCTCATCTTCCCTGCATAGGTGGGCTCCAGGGCTCTGCCTGCCTGCTGCAGGACACAGAGGCTCTGCACTGTCTCCTCCTGCCCACGTGGCTGCCCAGGTCAGGAGGTGTTCCCACGTAGTCCTGGATCACCTCTCAGCTGCTCTGAGACCCCATCTGTGGGAGAGTGCTGGCCCAGGTGYTCAGAGTGGGAGGTTTCTGCAAGACACCAGGCAGGAGGTCAGGTCCTGCCCCACGGGCAGCAGACCTGAGGCGGGCTGGGGGCCCTGGCCCTGGCTGACCTGTGGGCTTGGCGTGGGGGATGTGGTGCTGGCTCAGCAGACTGGCAAGCCTCTTTATCTCCTTTGACAGTTCTGAGTGTGCCTGGAACAAGAGTTCCAGTGACAGGTGAGACCCCCGTGGGAGACACCAAGACTAGAAACCCTGCCCTTTCTCTCTACCTTCTTGCAGTTGTCCAGGGTCTCAAACCCCAGGCCTGTTGTCCCTCCTYCTTGCTGGGTGGGTTCCTTTTCTCCTGGACCCTTTAAGTAGCCAGCATCCTCAAAAAGTGCCCTCAGCGATTTCTCATAGCCCTGAAGGTGGAGGAAAGAGATGGAGCACCGACTGGGGGCCAGCAGGGGGCCCCGCTGAGCCTCACTCACCTGTGGGGTGATCAGGTCATCAGCCAGTTCCTGCTCCACCTGTCCCCACCGCTGCTGCAGGGCCTCTGGCAGGGTCGGGTACACTGAGAACCCAACAGAAGCCAGGCTCAGCTGAGTCCCCATGCCCCAGCCCAGCCCCCATCCTGAGTCCTACCTAACAAAGAATGGGGGTGGCAGACAAGGGGGGTCTCAAAGGTCAACGCATAGATGCAGGTGCTTGGCTCAGACACATGGGCCAGTCGGTTGCTCTTCCCACAGGTAAGCTCCACCTGGGGAGGGAACCTCAGTGGGTGGCTGAGGGAGAACTAGGCCCTCTACCAGGGTACCCACTCAAGCCCCACCTTGCTCTGCCGGCTCCGGGAGCGGCAGGAGTCACCGTCCCGCATCCACATGCCTGTGAAGGTGTTGTTGGTGATCTCCCACTCCTGCCAGATGCTGGGGAGGAGGGAGCATGTGAGCAGGGGTGGGGACAGGGCAGGGCAGAGCCCCCCCATCCTCTGCCTTGCTCACCCGAGGATCCCACTGTAGGCGTTCCAGCGGAAGGTCTGCTCATGCTGGGTCACGTTGTGGAATGGGCAGAATTCATACTTATACCTGGGGGCAGAGGGGGTTCGGGATCCTCGGGTCTGCAACACCCACCCCCTGCAGGCCTGCCCGTACTCACGTGGACTCCACCAGGCTGAAGCACTTGCCAGAGAGTCTRAAGAGATGCGCAGGCCCTGGAGGAGGAGAGGGCTATGTGAGTCCAGCACAGACCCGACACCCACCAAGCCAGGGGACACAGGCAAGGGGACCAGCAAGCACCAATCTCCTTTCCCCATAGAGYCAGGGACAGCCTCCAGGTTGCCACCAACAAAAAGTACCATTAGGCCCGCCACACAGGTTCTGTGGTGTCCACGTCCCTGTAGAGACAGCAGGGCTGTGCTGTGCCCAACRCCACTCTTAAGCAGGGACCGTACGCCCGTGGCAGCCCAAAGAGACACCAGGTAGGACTGGGAAACAAGCCTTGGTGTGCAGGACTTGAAGGGCAGRTGCAGGCTCAGGAAGATAGGAGGACCAGTCCACAGAGATGGGCAGAGCTTTCTCAAAGGACCAATTTTCAACAACAGAAATCATGAGGCATACAATGAAACAGGAAAAAGACTACCTAACAGAAAATTCTACCAGAAGAAAATGGAGTGGGCTGGGGTGTGGCTAAGTAGTAGTGTGTGCCCCTTCATCCTGGGTTCCCTCTGTGCACAAGGAACTGCATCTTGGCGAGAAGTTGCTGCCAAAAAGGAGAAAGCAACTAAGGTGCACAGCTGGCTTTCTGTCCCTCATTTTTTAGGTGCTTCAGCAGTGGCCTCTCCCGCCAGACAGGATCTCCCACTCCTGGGCTCCAGTGGTCCTCCTGCCTCAGCCTCCAGAGCAGCAGGGATGTGTGTGTGCACCACTGTGTTAGCCTATAGCGACACATTTTATCACTACCATGGAGGCTACATAGAACACCCTTGAGTCATACACATCCACTGTTTTGGTCCTGGGGATTAAACCCAAAGGTGCTCTATCACTGAGCTACGTCTTCAGCACTTATTTTTCATTTTGACACAGGGTCTTTGTAAGCTGCCGAGGCTAACCTCAAACTTAGAATCCTCTTGCCTCAGTTTCCCAAGTCACTGGAATCATAGGTGTGCACCACATACGGCTATAAATCTGACTTGAATTTGCACAAACTCAACCTTACTTACAAACAGGAGCTACTCTTGCACAGGTCCATCAGGCCCGGCTCAGCCACCTATGTTACAGCTCACGTCTTGACTTATGCTCACAGACGGATAATTAGTTTTTATGCATTTGTTTTCTAATTATACAAAACAGGACAGCCTGGGCCTGTTTGCCCGTGTACATACCTCTAGTGGAGGACTTCAGCCTTCACCAGCTACTGGCCAGGGCCTCTACTTCCAGCCAACAGGTTTCATGTGGCATTTCTGCTAAGGTGGGTCAACTAATAACAAAACTCCAGGGTGCTGCTTATCTAGGAATGTCCCCACCCTCTTTTGGTGGAGTGCTGAAGATTGGACTCAAGCATATATTCTGGAGCTTTGATGCCTTAAGAGACTTTTTTAGCTCCAAAGACAAATAGATTGAAAGTGCAGGGATGGGGAAGACATGGAGCTGGGTGGCTGCACTGACTACCTCAGAAACTGCTAAAYGACACTGCATGTGGACCCAGAGTTAGCTGGCCAAGCTGTGGTTCTGGGGCTGGTGGGACCATGGGGAGGCAGAGTTCCACCATCAGGCTTGGAGACACCATTCTTCTACCTTTATTTTTCTTGGAGGGAGGTACTGGGCCCTGACCTTGGAGCTGTGACATAGCCCCAGTCCTTTTGCTTACTTTGAGACAGTTGTTGAGGCTGGCCTTGAATTTGCAGTCCTCCTTCCCCAGCCTTCCAAGGGATGATAGGCACGTAGCACAACACCCAGCAATATTCCACTTCTAAGGGACGTGAACCACACTGTGAACCAGTGGACCTCAGCAATGCGCACACAGTTTTTCAAGAACAAGCTGCATGTCCCACCACAAAGCCAGCGCTATTCCACTTGGACTGCAACTAGAAATCAAGAGCAGAAGGCTGGACAGTCAACGCTGCTTCCTCTGCAGTGCCGGGTTTGCCTGAGATGTGCTAGGCACCCACTAGACCACTTTTGCTATCCCCACTGAAAACAGCACATTCTTATGCAGTGGGTCACAGAAGATGAGATGAACAAAGACACCAGAACCTACAGGAGGCACCTATGGGATGTGGCAGAAGTAGTAAGTCAGAGACAACTGCAGAGCTTCGGCCAGAAAGCAAAGTGAGCCAGGCACGTTGGCACAGGCCTATGATCCCAGCGGCGCAGGAGGATTGCAAGTTCAAAGCCAGCCTTAGCAACTCAGTGAGACCCTGATAGGAAAGGATAAGATAAAGGAAAGATAGGAAAGGGCTGGGGATGTGGTTCAGTGGCTGAGCACACCCTGGGTTCAATCCCTGGTACCAAAACCAAAACAAAAACCCCTCATACTGTCTTCACATGCCTAGAGCAATTAGAAAAAGAAAAGCAAATTAAATCCTCAGGAAACAAAGGGAAGGAAATAATAAAGATCAAAGCAGAGCTAAGTGAAATACAAAAAATAAACCAAAAGTTAGTTCTTTTGGAAAAAGTCAACAAAATTGACAAAGCTTTAGCTAGAATGAAACAAAGGGAAGCCTCAAATCCTTCAAACCAGAAGTGGAAGTTGAGCTAYGCTACCAAATGCACAAACAGAACAGGGTTGTGCGAGAGGATACTCTAGACAGTAACACAGCAGCATACACCAACCCAGGGGACCGCACTGGGGACACCCTGGCTGGTAAGGAGATAGGTGACCAGACTTCTAAAACACTTCCTAACCCTCTGCACGGCCTGTATTTCCAGCCAGAGCAGACATCATGCCAAATGTCAAACTGCAAAACAACATGCTGAATGTATGCGTACGCTAAAACCTGGGGGGTGTGGGGGGCCTAGGAAACCAGCCAGGTAGAGTGGCTCACATCTGTAGTCTGAGCCATGTGGGAGGCTAAGGTAGGAGTCTGGGGCCAACTGGACAACACAGCAAGACCTGTCTCAAAACTATGTAAGTCAGTGGTACAGCATGTGCCTCACGTGTGCAGCTGGGTTTGTCATGCCTCAGCACCACACAAGACACTGGCAAACTGAATCCAGTATGTTAAAGGATTATACACTGTGAAGTCACCTTCCTCTCAACACRGGGAAAATCAGTGTAACATACCACATGTAACAGAGTGAAGGGAAACCGTGACTTAAACTGATACAGTGAAAGTACTTAACAAAATCTAATATGCTTTCCCAATTGAAAATACAGGGATAATGGAAGGAACTTCATAAGAAAGACTGGGACACACACCCCAGCTGACAWCAGGGTGAAGGGCTGAAAGCTCCTTAAGACCAGGAGCAGAATGAGGAGCTCTGAGCACTGCCCTACCCTGGTGCTCCTTAGTAGAGCAGCTGAGTGGAGGGAGGACGGGGGTGAAGTCTCCTGCTTGCAGATGCCACAGCTTCCAGGAAGAAACCTTAGGTGTCAGCAAAACTTGCCCGGCCAGCCTAATGGTAGTATTCCCAGCTGCTCACAGGCTGAGTCAGGAGGAGGCAAGTTTGAGTCCAGGCTGCACAATTTAGAGATGCCCTGTCTCAAAAAGGGGCTGGGGATACAGCTTGATGGTGGAGCATGCCAGTACTGCACAAAAACCCCAACCAAAACAAACATGCCTGACCAGGGCTGGTGGACATGMGCAAAGCTGCACTGAGCCATCCAAGTCCATTTATAACAGCATCAAAACATTCAGGGGAGGGGTTCAGAAATAATCCCCTCCAGGAGGGGAGGGGAAAAAAAAGTATACCCAAAATTGCAAAATGTTGCTAAAAGAAACTAAAGACATGCATGGAAAACACTGGTGCTCTAYTCCTGAGCTATTTTTTAGTGTTAAGTGGATACATTTTATTTTTTATGTGGTGCTGAGGATGGAACCCCGAGCCTCATGCATGCTAGGTGAGCTCTCCACCACTGAGCCACAGCCCCAGATGCCCAGACCTTTTTAATACTTTATTTAGAGACAGGGTCTTGCTATATTGCTGAGGGCTGACTTTTAAACTCACCATCCTCCTGCCTCAGAAACTGTACCTGGCCTGATTTAATGTTTCTAAAATGACACTACTGGGGTTGGGTCTCAGTGGTAGAGCACTCACCTAGCACGTGCAAGGCACTGGGTTCCATCCTCAGCACCACATAAAATAAGTAAAACAAAGGTATTGTGTCTGGGTACAACTAAAAAAAATAAAATAAATAAAAATGACACTACTCAAACAGAATATAGATTTAATGTAATTCCTATCAAAATCCTAATGACTTCTTTGCAGAAATATCCATTCTAAAATTCATACAGAATCTTAAAAAAAAAAAAATCTTGAAAGAAAAACCAAGTTGGAAGACCTCCCCCTAAGTGACATAAAGACAGTGTGGAGAGGCTATGGCTCAGTGGCAGAGCACTCACCTAGCACATGCGAGGCTCTGGGTTTGATCCTCAGCACCACATAAAAATAAGTTAACAAAATAAGGATTGTGTCTGTGTGTAACTAAATATGTGTGTGTGTGTGTGTGTGTATGTATGTATGTGTATGTGTGTGTGTATATATATATATATATATATATATATATATATATATTTTTTTTTTTTTATACAAACCATATATATGACAGTGTGGAACAGGTAACCCAGAAAGGGACCTGGACATACAGCCAAATCGTCTCAAAAGGGGCCAAGGCCACTCAGCTGGAAGGACAAGCCCTCTGAGGCACACTAGGAAGGTAGGTGTCCATGCACTAAACGAAGGTGGACCTTCACAACATCTATGGACACTAGCTCTAGACGGATCCACGAGGTTAAAACTACACTCCTGGAAGAAGATGGGGACGCTCAACAGGGATTTCCTGGACCTGGCACTGAAAACAGATGATAGCAGCAGAGTCAGGCCAACAGACCTGAGAAGCGGGCATCGGGGGCCTGTCCGGACGTGCACCAGGCACATGCTAGGCTCTGGGCTCTGACCAGCCCCAACCGGAAGGGTATGAGGAAACGTGAAGGGCCAGCCATGGAGTGGGAGGGGACACCTGCAAACCACCTGACAAGAGCTTGCCATGAAGAATAACAGCAATAAAACCACCAATTTAAAGACCAGCAAGACTGGAGAGCCACTTCTCTGACGGAGCCACACAGACTACCCACAGGCACATGAGAAGGTGCTCACCACTAAAACCCAGGTGGATGTGCAACCACRGTAGCAGTGCACCCCTCTAACCACCCACTCTGGAGGCTGAGGCAGGAAGAGCCAGGTTCTAGGCCAACCTTGACAACTTAGCAAGACCTTGCTCAAAAAAGGAGCTGGAGATGTAGCTCAGTGGTAGAGCACCTCTGGGTTCAATCCCCAGTACCAAAAACCCACCCCARTGGGAAACTACTTTGGGGTTAGGACGGCTGGCAGCAAATGCTGGTGAGCATGTAGAGGAACTGGCATCTGAGCTGCATGTGGGAACTGCTGAAAAGTTTGGCAGTCTTTCAGAAAGCTGAACAGTCGCCACAGTATTCAGCACATCCACTGTGGTGGGGCTGGAAGCAGAGGCTGGGATGGCAGCACACTATGTCCACAGCAGCAGTATCCCCGGYATCTAGAGCATAAGGTGCTCGTCCAGACAGTGGAGCTGCGAGGGAGTGGGCAATGACTTGTGCACAGCATGAACGGTCTGAAGATGCCCCCGAGTGCACCAGGCCTGGCTGACACCTGGCTGCCCACACCTGAGTACCCATCTCCTCCTCCTCTCCACAGCCCCCTTCCAAGAACCATAGCTGGGACTTMCCCCACATCCACCACCTACCCACTGAGGATTTCTGAACAACTCTGCCCACTGGACCCACTCACAACTCCTTCATGAATATCCCCCACCCTGAGCAAAACCAAGCTCATGGCCTGGCCCCCAGCCTTGGGCACCCCATCCTAGTGAGAGGCCCCACTTCTAAGGCTCCTTCAGCCATCCTCCCAGCCACTTGCTTCTGCCTTGCCCCCTCCCCAGATCCAAGGTCAGGCCCTGCCAACACCTAATCTTTCCCAGCCCCCACTCCTGCCCACCAACACCAAACCAAGGCAAATTCCTTGGTGTCATGCTCATCTGCTGTGCCCCATCTGCCTCTCCACACCACAGCAGTTCTAGATCATCCCCTCAACAGCCCCTGCCCATCTTGTTGCTGAGCTGGGGCACAAGGCTCCTAAAGTTGGTAGGGACCCTGGCCCCTGTGCTCCCGGGTCCCCTTCCTCCTCAGTATATCCTGCTGCTTTCCTTCTGAGACCTCCAAGCCCACCAGCAATGACCACATGTATTTCCGTTTCAGCCTAATTCTCTCCTTCCTTGGGCTGAAGTTGTGGTTCAGAGGTAGAGCTCTCACCTAGCATGCATGAGGCACTGGGTTCAATCCTCAGCACCACATAAAAATAAAATAAAGGTATTGTGTCAGCCTATAACTAAAATAAATATTTTAAAAAAGATAATGCCTCCCTCAGTGATAAGGGGGTATGTGGGGTGCCATGTTGCCAATGCACTGGCTCTAGGTTTATAGTCAAAGAGAAAACAATTAAAACACACACACCTGCCATATGTTGAAGGAATGCCAATGCAAGAAAARATTAAAGTGCACACATCTGACTACACAGCTACAGAAAAATCTATTCTGGAAAAAGAACACCATATAACAAAATGAAAAGATTGATGAACTAGGAAAAATTATGTAACTTACATCCAAATGAAGTGGCACAGTCCCTAACACAGAATTCCCAGAAAACACCAAATTAATGAAAACTCAAGTAGAACAAAATGGAATGACTGTGCGCACATGTCTGCACATGCACACAGAGCCATGGTGCTTCTGGCTGCTGTCTGGCAAATCTGTGGCCGGGAGTTGTATAGGTGGAGCACAGTGTTGCCACTCTGTATGGGYACTCTGTATGGGCATGGCACAGCTTCTGTGGAGGGCAGTGTATCCACGGCAAAAGCTCCATGAAGGCACTCTTGGGCCAGCAATTTGCCTCCACAACATCTTCTGGAGCACACCTAGGCAGCTGCACAGACCAAGCCCCACTACAGCAGAACCTGCAGCACCAGTCTACACGCAAACCCCAAAGGCCATCCACTGGAAACATGGGAAAAATTATGGTATACAATGGCGTGTTAGAAAGGGAGAGGCAGCAAAATACTCAGCAGAGAAAAAAAGCAATTCATGCTGGGGCTGTAGCTCAGTGATAGAGCTCTAGGCTAGAATAAGTGGGTCTCTGGGTTCCATCCCCAGTACCAAAACAAATAAAAACACCCCACAACCAAATATAAGGTAATCCACAGAACAGGAGAAAAGATTTGCAAACCAAGCTGTGCACAGTAACACATGCCTCTAATGTCAATTACAAGGGAGACTGAGGCAGCAGGATCCCAAGTCTGTGGCCAGCCTGGTCAGCTCAATATGATTCCATGTACAAATAAAAAAGGGGCTGGGGATGTAACTCAGTGGTAGAGCATGTGTTTAGCATATGTAAGACCCTGGGTTCTCTCCCCAGCACCAAAAAAAAAACAATAGAAAAATTAAAAATACAAACCTTGAGAACATGATGCTGGAATGCAATATGTCAGACACAAAAGGACACAAATTACAGGTATGCCACCACTCACAAGGTACCTACAGTGATCAAATTCAGAGATAGCAGAATGACTGCCAGAGCTAGATGGGGAGTTAGTGTTTGATGGGCAGTTTCTGGCTGGGAGTATGAGAAAGTCCTGGAAATGGAGGTGGTTATGGCTACACAGCAACCTGATGGACCTAATGCTGCTGAACCTGCTCACTTAAAAGTGGTTATAATAAAGCTGCGAATGTAGCTCTTGCCTAGCACCCAAGGCCCCGAGTTCAATCCCCTGGGGGGCATGTCCTGGAAGGGTGCATCTTTCTTCAACCTTGCTTCTGCTTCCTGACCTCACCTTAGCTGAGCAGCTTTCTTCCACTGGGTATTTCCCCCATTATGTCCTACCTCACCAGGGTCCACAGTGCTAGAGTCAGCCATGTATGGACTAAGATCTCTGGGGCCATGAGCCCCCAAATAAGTTTTCTCTACTCTAAGTTGTTCTTGTAGGGCATTTTGGTCACAGTGAAGAAAACGCTCCCCACCCACATGGCATTTTCCATGACCATTCTATACAGTCTTTCTTACTTCCTGTCTACTGCCCATCCTGCACCCTACTTGCAAGGCCAGCTCCATGAGAACAAGCACTGGTATGTGCTGTTTACTTCTGCTATCCCAGCACAGGTCCTGACACACACAGGTGTTCAACAACAAAATCCTTGGGTTTCTGTGTTTTCTCCCAGCAGACCCCTGGAGAAGTATGAGGAGTGTACAAGGAGGCCATCAGAACAGCCCAGGGTTTCAGTCCCCAACTGGCTTGAAGGCTTGGCCTTGTGGAGTTGAACAGAAGGCAAGTGAGATGTCCTCACTGTCACAGGTAGCACTGTCCTGAGACAAGGAAGTTCTGCGTGGGACTATTTCTAACCATCAAAAATGTAAACCACCTGAATTCCTGCAAGCCTACCAAGGTTTAGACTACCCAAACAGCAAGTGAAAAGAAAACTTATACCCATCACCATGAAGACATACAGTGAGTGACGGCGACCACGACACATCAGCCAAATACTCCTATAGTACTACTGTTAAAAGATTTTCAAAAGAGCAAAGATCGCAAAACCTTACTACGTAAGGTTGTACGTGTGCACTATCGGAATGAAGGCACGGGGACGCCTGTGGAAAGACACACACCAAAGCGCTAACAGCGCCGCCTCCAGGGAAGGGAGGGGAAGGACGAGGCCAGCGGGGAACCGAACCCCGCGCGAGAACGCTCTGGACCAGCGGACGCAGAGCCCGAGTTCGAGGCCGCCCGTCGCCCTGCACTCACCAGAGAGCGGCGACGGCTCCCGCTTGGGCTGCAGGCGGTTGGTCTGGGGCAGGAACGGGTTGTTGAGCCTAGGGGGATAGCAGGTCAGGGCCGCCCGCCGCGCGCCCGCACCGCTCGCCCGCACGCCCGCCGGGCGCTCACCCGAAGGCGTTGGGCTCCTCCACCACCTTCATCTTGGCCGCAGCCGCTGGCACGGGCCCTGCGGGAAGGGAGGCAGTGAGCGGGCGCGGGGCGGGGCGCGCGGCCGCCGGGGACGGAGGACCACTGACCGCGCGCCGCGAGCCCGAGGAGCAACAACAGCAACAGCAGCAGCACGCCGGCCACTCCGGCCGCCATGGCTCCGMCGCGCGTCACGTGACACTAGCGGCCCGCGTGGGGGCGGGGCCGGAAGTGGCGTCGCCAGAGCGACCGGATCSAAGCGGCGCCGGCGCGTGCGCAGTTGCCCAGGGCCGGGTGGTGTCGGCGCGGCACCCGTCATGGGGCGCAGGAAAGCTGTTCGCGGACCGGGGGCCGAGGGCGCCCACGCGCGGCGTCGCCCGGGCCACTCCCTGGAGGCCTTCGCCAAGGAGGTGGACGCCGCTTTGCGGGGTGAGTGCGAGGGGGAGGGAGAGGGGGTCGGGGCGCCCTGGAGCCCGCGCTAAGGCCCGGGACGCTCTTCTCCCTGCGCAGCGTCCATGGGGCCCGAGGAGGACGAGGGCGGCGCGGGCCCGGCRGCGCTGCCCTGCGCGCTGGCTATGTGGGAGCTGGGCCACTGCGACCCCCGGCGTTGCACCGGCCGCAAGCTGGCCCGGCTGGGCCTGGTGCGCTGTCTGCGCCTGGGCCAGAGGTTCGGCGGCCTGGTTCTCAGCCCCATGGGCACCCAATATGTGTCCCCCGCAGACAGGTAAGCGCGGGAGACCTGGGGACTGGCGAGGGGAAATAAGTTTTCTCCAGCTACTGCCTTAAAAGCTTGCCCAGGTAGCCCTTTGCCAGTGTCTGGGGTAAAGAAAGGACGCTCCCTATCCCTTGGGAGGCCAAGTTCCAGGGGTATACCTCACTTAGGGGGCCATCACCAAAGTGGTGCCAACCCCCAGAACTTACCCTATACTGTTCCTGGCAGACAGCTGGTGGCACAGTCTGGGGTTGCAGTCATAGACTGCTCCTGGGCCAGGTTGGATGAGACACCCTTTGGGAAGATGCGAGGGAGCCACTTGCGGCTGCTTCCCTACCTGGTAGCTGCCAACCCTGTAAACTATGGCCGGCCCTGCAGACTTTCCTGCGTGGAAGCTTTTGCTGCTGCCTTCTGCATCGTAGGTGAGTTTCAGGCCTGTCCGGACAGCCTAGTAGCCTCTGCTCCCAGAATGGTATTTTCTCCCATCAGACCCCTGGAGAAGTGGGAGGGGTGTACAGGGAGGACATTAGGATAGCCCAGGGTTTCAGTCCCCAACAGGCTTGGAGGCTTGGCCTTGTGGAGTTAAACAGAAGGCAAGTAAGGTGTCCTCACTGTCACAGGCAGTACTGTCCTGAGAAACTTTCTTTTCAGCATTCTCAGGGAATTTGTGGTCCAAGGAGAAGCCCAGATGGAGACCCATGAGACCTGGGGACAGACTTGATGAGATAGTTCATTTCTCAGGAGAGGGACAGACAAGGAAATTGGGCGGGGGACAGTCAGGACTGTAGTTTGGCAACCATCAGCTCTCTGGGATGGCAGCTGCACCCAGCAGTTGGGGTGAGGAGGACACATTCCCTAGAAGGATTGCTGACATCTCTAGTTCTTGTTTCCTATTCTGTTAGGCTTTTCAGATCTTGCCGTCATCTTACTACAGAAGTTTAAGTGGGGCAAGGGTTTCTTGGACCTGAACCGCCAACTCCTGGACACATACGCAACCTGCAGTGGACCAGAGGAGGTGCTACAGGCAGAGCAGGAGTACCTGGCCAGTGCCAAGCATACTCCCCAGGAGGAGGAAATTGGTGAGGCCTGAGGTGGGTGCCCTCTGCGGGAGGCCCTCCAGACCTGCATGTTCTTCTGAAAAGCCTAGGGTCTCGAGAGCTCACTCAGAGGTCACTTTCTTTTCTTTCCTCCCTTGGTTTAGACCCCTTTGATGTGGACTCAGGGCGAGAGTTTGCAAACCTCAACAGGCCTGTGACCAGCACCCGGTAGGTCCTGACCTCTACTGCTCCTGTATGTGAGGATGGTGTCCTAAGCAACCCCTGGGTGATGACTACAGAATACAGTGCAAGTCTGYTGGGGAGGATTTGGCCTAGAGAGGGCAGGGCCTAAGAGAAATGTGCCCTCAGCCCAGGGATGAGTGCATGAAGGGTGAGGGCTAAGTGAGGAGTGCCTTAGGTGCCACCACGAGGGGACACATTCTTCTCTTCCAGGCTGCCCACGGATATAGATGACAGCAGCGAGTCTGAAGACCAGGGGCCTGCCGAGGATGAAGGAGGCAGTAGCTGCTCTCCAGAGGAGGAGACTTCAGAACCAAGGACTGAGGCCAGGACCCCAACTGAGACTTGGAAAGAAATCAAGAAACAGCAGRGAGACTGAGAATTGTAGACACCACATACATTGTTGAAGCTGTGTGATAACAAAGTCCAGGAATGTGGAGATAGCCAGGCCTGGCAGCGTTGTGCTCCTCTCCACATGGGAATAACCTTGCTTGAGATACTCTCAATGAAACTACAGGTTGAGAAGTAGCCCCTGGTGTGAGTCTGGTTCTTTGCACTTAGCCTGGGGTTGGGAGACTGCTTGTGAGAGACTGAGCCATGGGATAAGTGATGTGGTCATGCATGTGTTGCAGGGAAGGACAGCTGACCAGCTGATGCAGAACCCCTGACTTCCCTGTCACCCTCCTGTCACTGGTGACATATACCTCCTGCCAGGCCCAGGAGCCAGGTGGGGTCTGGAACCCCACATGATTTTCCACAGACTTCTCTGTTCATCTGTGGGTGAGGGCTGGCACCCTACCCTCTACTTATTAGCCCTGGCAGCTACTGTCCTCCAAAGCTTGGGTCCTCTAAACTTGACTCAACCTGTAGGGGCCTTACTCTTCCTGGGAGAGATAGGGTAGAGCTTCCTCTGAGAGGACCCTCCAGGCTAGGGTCAGCCTGGACCCTAGCCCACCAKGCCAGTTGGGGACAGACCATTCTTTGTTTGGGGGCTGACCAGTGAGTGCACTGGAGGGTACTGAGCAGCATCCCTGGCCCCCACCCTCTCATACTAGTATGTCTTTTCTAGTTCTGACTACCTAGAGTGTCTCCAGAATGCCTAATGGCCATGGGGAGCAAGGTTCTACTGAGACTAGGGAGCTGCCCACCTAATGACCAGGCCCATTGTAATCTCTGCTTCCAGGATGTAGCTGCTGGCCAGTCCTTCCAAGTTAGCCTGTGTTCAGGGTGGGATGTACTGGGGCACAAGGGGTTCATAGCACACACCAAAGGGACATAGCCAGGGCAGATGGAAGCCATATAGAGTCAGCTATGGCAGTTGAGGGCCTCAGTGAGGCCTGGCTGCACAATGTGGCATATGGGGGGCAGCGGAGTTTTCAGGGGTCAGCCTCCATGCACTTCTCCAGTTCCTTGAGCTTCTTGACGAACTCTTGTGCCTCCTTATTGGTGCGACCTTCCAGCATCCTCAGTGCTGACCTCACTGCAGGTGGACAAGAGGGCATGTGGGAGCCAGGCCCACTGCCCTGTGTCCCCACCACCACCCCACGCTCACTCACCCTGGGCTCTAGGCCGTCGCAGGTGCAGGGTGATGGGCTGCCCAGCCCTCGAGCCCGCTCCCACCTGGGGCCTCGCAATGCCACTGACGCTSCCCAGGCTGAGGGCAGCCTCCCCAGCGAAGTCATTGGTGGACAGCCAGTCATGGTCCATGACAGTGAACAGCACACAGGCCCCACGGTGGCGGCATGCTTCTGCGGGCACAGAACTGCAGAGGAGGCAGTCAAGAGCCAGCCATGGACCTGTGGGCCAGGCTGGGATRGGCACAAGGGACAGGATGGGCACTCACAAGTGGAAGAGCTCGTCGAACACTGGGTGCAATGTCCGGGCCTTGACCTGGGTCCTCTGGCTGCGGACCAGTGGGAAGAGATGAGGTGGGCCCAGTTCCACGATCACGAAGGGGTCACTCAGGCCTGTGGGGCACAGCCGTCAGCAAGCCCCCAGCCCCAGCCCCCCCCCAGCCACCGCTGCACCTCACCATTGGCGTCCAAGGGGAGCAGGTCTGCGGCATGCAGCACCTCCACGGCCAGCCGCTGCTCGGCTGCCTCGTAGTGGCAGCGGACACTCAGGCGGCCAAACCGGTTCTGCTCCAGTGACCTCTGCGGGAAAGGCCAGTAAGCAGGGCTAGGGAGCCAGGCAAAGGCCACACAGATGGCCGCCATCCTACCTGCTTGAGCTTGTCCAGGTAGAACTGCTCAATGCATTCCCGGGTGGAGCACTTGTGCAGACGCAGCTCTTCCTCCAGCCTCTGTGAGGAGGGGTGCTGGTGACTGGCCACATAGGCCACTGCCCTCATGGCCCCCTGGCTTCATGCACTAGGACAGGGCCTACTGTGGGGCAGTAGGCTGAATGTGGTGGCCCCCAGAGGGGTTGGGCCTCACCTTGTAGCTTCCATCCCTCAGGCTCTCCAGGGGCAGGCCCTGGCCCTCAGCGTGGAAAAAACTGACAAGAGCCTGGGGCAGAGAAAAAAGAGGGAGATACATCAGGGGTCTGGCCTGATTGAGTGTGGAGCCCCAGTAGGTGGGTCTTGGGCACCTTGGCAGAGCCACTCATCACACCTGGGATGGACAAGAAGTCCCAGGAGACCAGGGAAAATGCCAGCATCTGAGGCCAGACTCTGTTGTAACAGGTGGCCCAGGTGCTGCTGGGCATCTAGGCTGTGGGGAGGAAGTGCTGCCCAGTGGGGAACAGGAGAAGCCAGGCAGAGGCTGGGTGTCCCAGCAGGGGCCCAATCAGAGGAGGGCCCTGGGGAGCTCCTCATGGCCCTACCTCCAATGTGAAGTGGAAGCGCCCGTAGAAGTCTGCAGAGACATCACTGTTGGCGCCCAGCGCCTGCAGAATGGCCTGCAGCAGCAGCTCCCAGAGGGCCTCCAGCACCCTGCAGGCACACAGCCTAGATGAGTACCTGGAATGACCCACCCCACTTGCCCAACCTGCCCACCTGCCCAGCAAACCTGCTCAGGTTCTCCTTCACCAGCGAGGCATTCAGCAAGGCCAGTTTCTCATCCAGGTACTTCATGAGTGGGGCCACAGCCTGTGGGCAGGGGTCCTCAGGGCTGGCCTGAGCCTGGACCCTAACCCACCCCAAGCACGCATACACTCACAGCCTCCTGCCCAGGCCGGCACGCACCTCATCATTCTG